TTCATGTATCTAATCCCTCACTCTCCCACACGTCCCCAAAGAAGAAAAGAGATAATTAACAAAGTTAATAAATACTGATCAGTTACCAAAAAAAAAAGAAAAAGTCCAGTAGTATAAAACCAGTGAACCATAATATAACTTCTTTTAAGTGCAGCAGTCATCTGTTGGAGCATTTTCCCCAGTCTCTCTGTTGTAGAAACTATTCAGAGAACTGCCTCCTGGCTCCCACTGATCACAGCTAATGGGGCGAGTAGCAGATGTAAGCTGAGCCTTACCTTTGCCCAATCACATTGTCTCTCTGCAAATTTAGGGCTCAGAATATTTTAAAAATAATTTTAATGTTTTAAAAATTTGAAAAAAATCTTAAATTTCCAGAAAAGCTTTTTTTCTTTTTCTTTTCTTTTCTTTCTTTCCTTTTTTTTTTTTTTTTTTTTTTTTTTTTTTTTTTTCCTTTTTTTTTTTTTATACGTTTTTTTTTTTTTTTTTTTTTTTTTGAGACAAGGTCTTGCTCTGTACTCCAGGCTGCAGCTCAGGAGTACAGTGGTGTGATCATGGCACTGCAGCGTCCACCTCCTGGGCTCAAGCCATCTTCCTATCTCAGCCTTCTTAGTAGTTGGAACTACAGGTGCAAACCACCAAGCCCAGCTAATTAAAAAAATTTTTTTTTATAGAAACAGGGTCTCACTACGTTGCCCAGGCTGGTCTCAAACTCCTGGGCTCAAGTGATCCTCCTCCCTTGGGCTCCCAAAATGCACCCAGCCAAATGCATTTATTATTTCTAAACCATATGAGAGTAAGCTACCAACATGATGACCCAACACTCTTGGGCAGGTTAGTGTTTGTTTCCTTCAGAAAAAGACATTCTCCTATGCAATCAAAATGCAGTCAGCAAACTCAGGAAATTAACACGAATACATCACTACCAGTTAATCCTCAGGCCTCATTTAAGTTCTACCACTGTCCCAATAATGTCCTTTATAGCATAAGGGTCCAGTTCACAATCATTAATTATATGTCTCTTCATTAGGGATTAGACAACTCAAAGAATTTTGAAAGTAAATGATACACAGTAAAACAAAGTCATATAAACAGATATTCAGGGAAAAGTAAGTCTTCCCTCTTGTGTGATGTCCAGAGACAATCCCTCTTACCAGTGTCTCATGCATACTTCTAGACCATCTACCATACACAAACACAGTTGTGTACATTGTTTTTTGTTTGTCTAGAACTTCTAACCTCAAGTGATCATCCTGCCTTGGCCTCCCAAAGTGCTGGGATTACAGGCCTGATCCATTGTTTTTGTTTGTTTGAGACTGAGTTTTGAGCTTTTGTTGCCCAGGCTGGAGTACAATGGCGCCATCTCAGCTCGCCACAACCTTCGCCTCCCTGGTTCAAGTGATTCTCCCGCCTCAGCCTGTCAAGTAGCTGGGATTACAGGCATGGGCCATAATGCCCAGCTAATTTAGTTGTATACATTGTTGAAGAGGGATGTCCAAGCCTTTCTTAGTTCAGGGAAAAATAAGATCAGATTTAGGAGTTAGTTCTTCCTGTAAGAATGTTGAATATAGGCCGGGCGCAGTGACTCACACCTGTAATCCTAGCACTTTGGGAGGCCGAGGTGGGTGGATCAACTGAGGTTAGAAGTTCAAGACCAGCCTGGCCATCATGGTGAAACCCCATCTTTAAAAAAAAAAAAAAAAGAATGTTGAATATTTATTAAGAACTTTATTGTTCGTCATTAAGACAGAGGTTAAAAAGAGTTTCCAAGTGAATATATCTACCCACATTTATAACACAAAAGTCACTATTCACTTGGAGAAGATAAGAATCCTTTCATTGTCATACATTTGACATTTTAATTCTCTCTTTGTAGACATCAAGGATTCTTTGTCATTTAGTTGTTTCAAACGCTTGGAACATCTTCCAGATTATTACCTAAGTTATAAAATAATAGTGTAAACATTGTCTTTAAAATTGTGTTAGTTGACATATAATATTCACAAGTAAACTTACTAAGCAGTTCTTAATGTTGCATTATATACAGTAGTGTAAGTTTATTTATATAATATTTTATCTTAATGACATCAAGGCAAAAAATTAAAACTTAATTATTGAATCTTAACTATAAGGCACAAACTCTTTATATATTTATTTATTTTTGAGACAGGGTGTTGCTGTCACCTGGGCTGGAGTGCAGTGGTGCGATCACGGCTCACTGCAGCCTTGACCTCCTGGGTTCAAGTGATTCTCCCACCTCACCCTCTCAAGTAGCTGGGACCACAGGTGTGCACCACCATGCCCAGCTAACTTTTAATTTTGTAGCAATGGGGTCTTGCCATGTTGCCCAGGCTGGTCTCATCTCTTAGGTTCAAGCAATCCTCTTGCCTCAGCCTCCCAAAGTGCTGGAATACAACCAAGAGCCACCACATCCAGCTATTTCTTTAATAACATAGAAAATGGACCTGTAACTTAAAACATGAAATTCTGATGTGGTTATCTTATTCCACTTGCCCAATGGGCTAAGGAGAGAGACGTGTTGGCAGCAATATTAGCAAATATGAATATGAATACAGGAAACAGAGATGAGGGGAGGAATGTTTCTGAGGACATGCTAGTTTCTGCTTCTGGTCTCTTCCTGAGCACTGATTGCTTTCTTGCCTTTGCAGTCTGTGCTATAAGACATCACAGGATCCTTCTAATAAATATCCATGCTCATGTCTTTTAAAATTTTGCTTAAGCTAGTTTGGTTTCTGCTATGTGCAACATTCCTAAGAATATGGATAGGGAAGTGGAGGGTCACTTGAGTCCAAAGAAATCTGAAGAAACACAATTCTCATGTGATTTGGTTTTTCTCTCTTTGAGATGGAGTCTCACTCTGTTGCCCAGGCTGGAGTTCAGTGGCACAATCTCGGCTCACGGCAACCTCCATCACCCAGGATCAAGTGAGTCTCCTGCCTTAGCCTCCAGAGTAGCTGGGATCAGAGGTGCCCACTGCCACGCCCTGCTAATCTTTGTATTTTTAGTAGAGATGGGGCTTCACTATGTTGGCTATGCTGGTCTGGAACTCCTGACCTCAGGTCATCTGCCCATCTCAGCCTCCCAAAGTGCTGGGATTACAGGCATGAGCCATGTGCCTGGCTCCAACATGGTTTCTGATACTGCTTGAGCTCTCCAGAAGAACTGAAAGACTGTGACAGATCTACAAGTCTAAATTATGGATCCAAATGGAGGAAAAGATGTGAATCAAGTAATTGTTTTCAGAGTTTTTGTGTAGTTGAAAAATAAGCTGTTGGCAGTTAACCTGTTCCATCATTTAGAGTTGTTCCACTTCTAACTAAAATGTCTTTCCTCTTAGTTTAGTTCAATAATTTTTCCAAAAAAATTAAAAAATTCAATCCATTTTATTGACCGTTTCCTGTCCTGCTCATCAGATGAACTTTTTGAAGTATGATTGAGTACATTATTTCTTACTAATCCAAGAGAAAAGACAATGCTAATTTATTTCAGATTTTATTAAAAAGACGTTTCAAAAATGTAACACTGCCACATTGGGTATAAAATTTCAACATGAGTTTTGGTGGGGACAAATCAAACCACAGCTGCTCAAGACAAAAACCATGTGTACTAAAGAAGGATAATGACTCAATTTTAATTTTTAAAACTTCATGAAAACAGCTTATAACCCCAAGGCAGGAATTTCTCACAACTTGCCCTAACACAATATAATTTGTTAGTCTATTTGTTTTGGCACTGTCAGAGAGCATGGAGTTGTCATCTCCACATTTTGGTAAAATTTGGGTAATGCAGACCCACACTTAGTGCTGGGCACAGACTCTCACTTGCACTTTTTCATTTTCCCCTGTGCCTGATTCTGGTTTGCTCCTGGCAACTGCTTCTTCATAAACTTTTCGAAAAGGGTGATCATGTGAACCCAGAGATGCTGAAAACAGTTTATAACTCTTGTGCCAGTAGTACTTACAGAACATAGGGTCCCAGTTGCCTTCTAAGGGAGTTTGTCTCACTTCTCTTGACTCATGTCCACATCCAGAAAGCTGAGAACCTTACAGTATTGAGCATTCTATTCCAGGAGAGTCAAGTTGCAAGCACTCTGTATGCAATGCAGTATAAAGAATTTGTTTAACAATATGGAGAAATGATCTGCAATGGTCTCAAAATAAGGCAAGATAACCCACAATGACAATAGCCAAAGGCCACCATATTTGTCTTTGTTTGAGTTAGGACATAGATGGGACAGTAAGTAACAGAGACCTGAGAAAACAGGGGCTTAAACAAGATAGGATTTAATTTTTCTATCACATAGAACTTTTGGAAAAGTCCATGCATGAAATGGTGGATATGCCCTACAAAATCCTCAGTAATCTTGGCTTCTTCTAGCTTACCATTCATTGTTCCCAGATCATAGAGTGTGGCTTTTGTCTTCAGGACCTAAGATGGCTTGCTAAAGCCTTAGCTTTTACATTTGCATTCCGGGTGGTAGAACAAAAGGACAGAAGGCGGGAGGAGGCAAATTTACCAGTCCATTGACTTCAAAGGAAGATTCCCTAGAAGCTATCATTTGCATCTACACCACTAAAGAAGAATGAGTAAAATAATCTTTATTATGGAAAGCCCTATGTTCAACTAACAAGTTCTGTTACTGTGGAAGACAGAGAGAAGAAATACTTGGGAGCAACGATTGTTCTCATTTACTGTCACTTCAGGTTCCTTGGAGAGCATGCATAACATTTCTCCTGGTCTGACTTGCTCAGTGATCCTATGTACTATGGCCCAGCTGCTGGTAAAGCACTTTTTCTGCTGATCCAGTGTGTTCTGTTTGCAAAGAATAAAGATTTACTCAGGTAAGCTCAAATAACAGGGCATTTACTATAATGTAATACACTAGAAAGGTTGGGGGGGGGGGTAGACGTTCATCAAATGGCCAGTGAAGCAGACCTCATTTTTCCAATATGACTACAAAACATTTCCAGATATCCATTTTGGAAGTTTGCCACTCCCCCAGTAAGGGGTGTATTTCCTCCCCTGGGAAGACATTTTTGATTGCCTTGACTGATAGAGTATGAATGGTAGACACTCTGTGTCTACTGAGGAAAGGTCATAAAAAGTAATAGTTTTGCCTGGGCACAGTGGCTCACACC